TCAGAAATGCAAAGTAATCGGCAAAGCACAGGTTACGAAGGTACTCTCCATTAACTCCTATCCCTAACTGTTTTCATTCTAGGCTTATGAAAGCCTTCTGTAAGCACGAGGTGATTAGCATTGGGAAGATTGTATTCCTTACTCTTACACTCTTCGTGATTGGTATGGTGTCACTTTCTTTATGGAGCACTATGGTGGCAGTTGTTGCTCCTGTGTACATCCTGTGTAATCTAAGATCTTTATATATGCTTTGTCGACCCGCTCATTCTGCAGTGTCTGCATGACTTCTGATATTTCTACCAAATCAACTTCCTTTCTGTAGTCTTTGAAGGTCATGTATAGTGGTTGGCTCTATTCTGAGCATCTATCTATTACCTGACTGATAGTATGAACTTGGTTGATTGTTCACTAGCCTGTTCAAAATTCTGCTTGTTTCTTTGCGTGATCGATATGTAGATTTTACCGTATCGAAACCACCTGATGAATATGAGAGACACCGTAGTGGAGACCTCCAAAAAGTTCCGCCACCTAAGGTTCTTTAACATGCACCAAAATCTGAGGACACGGGCCTACAGCGTTTTAGCCTCCATTGAAAATGCGGCCGCAACTGTCAGAGTTCTCCGCCATGGCCTGTGGGTCAGTAGCCGACTTCCTTAGCTACTAGACCACCGTGGTGAGGCAACGCAATGCAACAGCACGCCACAACTAGCACAGTGCTATGACGTGTAACACACGTGCGGAGTTGATCCATCGGTGCGGCAAGGTTCAGGTTTGGCTATTCAATAGCTCGTAGCTCCTGGGTAGGTTAAGAAGACGTGAATGCACCATGGATTGTGAAAATGTTGTCGTGGACTGAGCATAGACGCTCGTCTCATTCTCCGATGTGCTTTGACGGCCCAAGCAACGCGGATATCACGACAGCTTATCTACAATAGCCCTTTATGGGCAGTCGGTTGGTCGAGCATGTCGAAAAATTTTTGCGAGTGAGCCGACAGCCCCGTAGAATACGTCGTACAACTACTGCGTTGACGCCGCTTCGGAATGTTGTTTTATTTAAAACGACGGCTGCCGGTAGTGACAGGCATGGCAGCGTCACAACAGCACCCCTGCCACCACACATTGCATGACGGCGATGAGCTGACATGCGTGGCTTGACTCAATAGGTGCGGACGGACACGAGGCTCATAAATGGGTTTCGATGGGAAGTCCTCAGGACCACGGCTGTTTTTGCAGACGTTCCACACAATCAGGCCTCTTGCATGGACTCCTGTTTAGTGTGGATACGACGAGCTGGACAAGAAAACCGTTGTCAGACTACGCCTAACGCTTCAAGCGTCCTCTGCACATTCCTCTTGTTACAAAACCGAACTCATAAAAGAAAACCTGATGGCTAACGTTACTGCACTCAACAACAACGAGGAGAGCTTATGTCATAGTGACAAGTCAAAGCAGACCTCATATTTAGTGTTGATGAAACAACGGCGTCGAGAGAATACAATAATTCTACTTAGGAAGGGCAAGTGAACAGTTCAACAAGTGAATGGAACTCTCAGGGTTCACTAATCGTTTGAAAACTCTTGTTAAGTTGCGACACACAGCATACGACAAAAAACCTAGGTTCAATGAACGTCATAAGAACATCACCACCGTTGCAATGGTTTTATGCTAAAACCTTGCTTTAAACGGCTATAACGACAACTCCACCGTTCAACTCCAAACTGAATTGTTTCACAAAATCATTTGGTATTATGCTAGTAGCTCCCTTCTTCGAATTCTCATTCATGCCACATTGACGTGACAGTGATTGCATACAATATTACATCAGACTTTCACAGGACTAGAAAAATAACACGCTTTATCTTGTTGTCCCCTTCAACAGATGTTTGCCATAAAGATTAGTAATCTGCGATGATATCTGCAGCCCTTATTTGAAACTAGTGGCGCTGTAGTAAGAGCAAGCTCTTACTACAGCTAGTCATCGAAACCACAACGTTGCCTGCCTCAGCGTACCTTTGAAACTTAAATAATTGTAGTAACGTTGGCTACAATGTCTCACATATATTTCGCCACACTTATGACGCATCACTCACGTTCATGTGGCCACTATAAATCGAGCCTCTCTTGTGCCAACCTGTCTATATATTTATCTGCAATCATAACCTCTGAGATTGCCGCCACATTTGATAGAAGCAGAACGAGCTCAACGAGACTGGCTTTCTGTGCACCATTCTTGCCTTTGAGAATGGAGATTTCGATGCTGAAGTTGTAACAAAACAACCTGGTCGAAAGAGGACAACCGACCACTAACAGGCTAGTGGTAGACGCGATGTTTAGTTGGCAAGAAAATAAATAGCACGACAATCATGCTACCCTTGCTGCACTGTTAAAAGTTTGCTTTAGTAGAGGCACCTACGTGCTCGCACGCGGTGTTCCTGTGATTATTGCCGCTCAAGTCCAACATTACTCTCTTGATGTCACGCTCATTCTTGTAGGCATATTTATGAAAGGTGGTGTCATGCGCTGCGCAGAGTCGTCTTGCCATGATCGCCATTGTGGGAATTCGGAGTGAATCCTGTGGGCGAGAAGCTCGGACCATACTGCATTACACCCCTGCGTGAAAAGCCCTCCATAGTCAAAGCGAAAGCTCAAATGTAGATACTTCTTGAACCCACTGTAACCTCGCTTGGGGCTACTAATACAAATTCACTTACAAGAAACCCCTTACGCGATGAACTAATTTTTTCAGGTTGGAGGCCCACAGTCAACCATGATTCGTCATATTTTGCAGAAGCGAGATACTCACTACGTGTCTGCGGGGCATTTTGTGCACTTTGTTGATCCAGTTCTTATTGACGATGTAGAATTACTGCTGAGCCCTTCGTAAAAGTTTGAAAGCATTGAAAGGCCCACTGGCTTACGCATTTCGTATTTCGTGACGCCTGGTTAGAGAACTTGCATCTTGTGGCTCTTCGTTGTTAATGTACTTTTTCCCCTCGCTGTATTGCTTACGTTGAAGCAGTTTCTTTCTGACAGGAGGGGGGGGGGGTACAGGGTGTTTTTGCGAATAACTTTCTAACACCGGCATTATTCTGTGGAAAAGAACTATATTGCCACGGGGAGTATCAAGGTTTGAGGATCTTTCCATTTTGGTTATTTTTAAATACAAAGCGTTTTTTTGCGTTGTGCACGCACTTTGAGTATCTATCTATCTATCTATCTATCTATCTATCTATCTATCTATCTATCTATCTATCTATCTATCTATCTATCTATCTATCTATCTATCTATCTATCTATCTAGCTGCCTACTTGTTGATCTCGTTATCACTCCCTTAACTTGTGATAAACCAAAATTATTATGGGAGAGTAGGATGGCTGCAACAACCTGGTCGAAAGAGGACAACCGACCACTAACAGGCTAGTGGTAGACGCGATGTTTAGTTGGCAAGAAAATAAATAGCACGACAATCATGCTACCCTTGCTGCACTGTTAAAAGTTTGCTTTAGTAGAGGCACCTACGTGCTCGCACGCGGTGTTCCTGTGATTCGAATATAGACGAATCGAATATAGACTTTACTCTGAAAACTAAACAATTTAAATGTCATCATAAATCCTTTCTTCTTTTGACTAAAGACATAGTAGATCCATAGGCTTTTATATTTAGGAATACTTGTATACTGAGTTGATTTTTTTTCTTACTGTGAACAATGATACTTAAACAGAATCGTTTGATACCAAAATTGTTTCCTGTTTATGTAAAACATATTCTGAATGTATATCATGTAGAAATAAGCTATGTAACTAAATAAGATATGTATAATGTCACTTATTTGTATATGTATGTTACTGATGTGTGAATATGTGTAATATGGCACTGATGCAGACTGTATCAGGAGGTCAAGACCTCGTCAGGCTATTTAGCCTTTAGTCCTTGCCTCCCGCAGGGAAGTTTTTTGTATTTTCCTGCAAATAAACTTTGAAACTTTGAAATACGACTCGGTGGTCATCTTTAGAATACTGTCTCAATCCCGCAGGGCACTTTGTCAAACACTTTCCTCCAGACAGTGTCACATACACGCAAGCGCGTATTAACCGGTATGTGCCGCAGGTGATTAACACCTATTATCTATCAAGGTCGACAAGAACACAGAGAAAGTTTCACACGTGATCGTTAAGAAGAGCTGAAATAAGCGACGTTTAGCCGATTAATGCAAACAATAAATGCCAGCGTCCCAGCAGGAATCAAGCCCTTTCATTAGGCGTAGAAATCAAATATTCAAATACAGATCTGCGCAGCGTCTGGCCAAATGCATGCTAATGTTTGTTAAACATCAATTGTGCTTTCAGTACTTGCTCTCCACAAACAGTACATATGTACTCCTAAAATACAGCGGTCATGTCGAGTTTTCGTCAATTGTAGTTAGGTACCATCCTTTCAAGTTCATTTACATAGCAGTGTTCAGCGCTATCATCTTCCGAGCACTAGCGCTTCCCATCAGCTTACCATTTCTGGCGTGGCTAGTATGCATCTAGGTGTTGGCATCATTACCCAAATTTGAACAGCTGGGTCTAAAAAACATATGTGGCTGTTCAACGCGCGTTCATTTGTAGACAGCTTTAGCGGCACTTCATGACGTTTCATTAAGGAAAATGGAATCATCACAGTGTTATTTATTGCGCATTCTTCGCATAATTTCGATACCTAAGGCGCGTGAGATTTGCCGAATCAGTTTTTTTTTTCTTTTTTTAGTGTGACAGTGCCTACGGACACTGGAGGCAGTTGTGGGGGAGGACACCTACTGCACCGAAAACAGCTTTTCTTGTCCCTGCATAGCAGCCTTGGTATAAAACAGCTGCACTGTTTGACAGGAAATGGTGCGAATGCAATTATGCGATTTAACGAGAGACACTACGCTGTACATTCGGCGGTGTTTGCAGCAGTCGTATTCGTGATCCGTTAAACGCAACTTTACTCGTAGCAGAAACCACCAGCACCTAAAATATTTTGAAATTTTTTACGCAATTTTTTTATATTTCTTGCAGGTTATGAGCGAATATGAAAGCTCTAATTCATGACCGTATAGTCTACTCGCCATACCCAAATGTGGAAATTCCTGAGTGCTCTTTTTATACTGTGGCCAAAGAAAAACTGCTGCTGAACCCTGACAAACCATTACTGGTAAGCACAGAACTCTATTGCTTCGAGCGCATAACTTTAGGGGCCCGGGATGGCGAATGCTGCTGAACACTTTCGTCGCCTCATGTAGTTCGGCGTAACGCTGGTGAAACAGCGTATAGTATCGCCATCTGTACCATAGGCAGTGCACGCTTGCTCCATGAAAAATTCTTCCGCTGGTTGTTCGAGTGCCTTGATGATGATATTATTTGCGTAGGCTCTGTCTGTCGCAAGCTGTTGTCGCTTGTCATAATGGTGGTAAAAACAGGTATAAAGATAGTCGCAAATAGGAATCAAGCGGGAAATATGAAGACAAAACTTAATACGGTGAAAATGAAAAAAAGAGTAAAAAATTGAAAGAACTAGAAATAGAGAGAAAGAATGTCAACTAAAAAAACTAACATAATTGAAGACGTTGTCCGATTCTGTGCTATCTTTAGGCTTGACACCACTCTTGTGAAGCTTTTTTTTTCAGATTTTATCACATAACGTTCCTGGTCGGGGCTGTTTTCATAGGTGCAGTTAAGCAGTTCTGAAAACATTACAAATGAAACAAAGGAGCGTTATAAAAATCCACGCAACTTCACAAAACGAATGACAAGTGGATGAAGTGGGGTCCTAAAAGATCCATGTCTACATTAAGTCACCGACAACTATAAAGCACTGAGTGATACAGAGGCGCACGCGCAGATGGATAGATGGATGGACGGAATAGTTGTTTACACTTGCGCAACCATTCCAACAAGTACCAGAATATTAGCAACAGCAGAAGTGATAAACTGATACGAAGCGCTGATGCTCGCTAAGAGGTGGCAGCCCTGGACACTGCTGCATAAATCAGCTTACTCAAATGTTCCCTAAACGCAGTTGACGTTAGCCCAACGTGACGACTGTATGAAAGCAGTACATACGTAATAATTATAAAATTGGAAAGCCAGCAGTGCAACCAGGTCCTCCCTCGGTGGTCTAGTGGCTAAGCTCCTCGGCTGCTGAGCCGGCTGCGGCGGCTGCATTTTCGTTAGAGGCGAAAACACTGTAGGCTCGTGTGCGAAGATTTGGGTGCACGTCAAAGAACCCCAGGAGGTCGAAATTTCTGGAGCCCTCCACTACGGTGTCTCTCATATTCTGGTCGTGGTTTTGGGACGTTAATTCCCACATATCAATCAAACAAGCAGTGCAACCGCATTGGCGTTTCACATTTATTGTGGTCTATTTAAAAAGTAGTTCCGTGACCTGGCATGGCTCCGTGGTATAAAACTTGATTGTCACGCAGAATGCAGGAGTTCGATTCCTGCTGAGACCTTGACATTTATTGCATGCGTTCGTTAGACCAATGCTGCCGATGTAAACTTCTTAATGTTGACGCATTAAAATTACCCTTGCGTCTTCTCACTGTTCCTGGGAGCACACTAAATTTCAATCACTATTGCCGCATACGTATACCCGCATACCAGTGGCACATACTCACTCGCGGGCCTAAACCACTGTTTAAGGAGAAGTGTTTGACGGCGTACGCGACGGGATTGTTACAGTAATCAAGTCTGAACAAGCGCGTCATAATTGTCAGACCATCTTACCCTCCCATGCTCTAAGTTTGGTGCACTGGACGTCAAGAGGGTGATCGCGAGAGCACCCTTTCATAAGTGTCTACATAGATAGATAGATAGATAGATAGATAGATAGATAGATTTTCAGATGTAGCGCTTAGCCTAACGCTATTTCAGATGTAGCGCTTAGCCTAAACTGCAATGTAAGATTGATAATAATGTTTTGATTGCCCATGTTGCGACAAGTATTGCGCAAATGTGATGCGCCTCATAAAAAAGTACTACAACCCTTATCTAACTGCCGAAGCTCTTTTGCAGAAGGAACATAATTGCAAAAGCCCCTACTTCCACCACTTCGTCTGTAGCGGGAATTCCGTACTTGTCGATATATGACTGATGTGTGGGGTTTAAAGTTCCAAAACAACCATATGATTATGAGAGACGCCGTAGTGGAGGGCTCCGGAAATTTCGACTACCTGGGGTTCTTTCACATGCACCCAAATCTGAGCACACGGGCCTACAACATTTCCGCCTCCACCGGAAATGCAGCCGCCGCAGCCGGTATTTGATCCTACGACCTGCGTGTCAGGAGCTGAGTACCTTAGCCACAAGACCACCGCGGTGGGGTGATTCCGTACTTGTTATTGCTAGCATATCTGACATGAACATTCCATAAATGCGTATGTGTACCTTCTTGAACGAAAGACTTACCAAATTGCCCACAGTTATCAATTTTGGTTATAAGTTGTGAATATTGGCATGTTTTCACTTGTAGCCCACATTTTCGATTCCATATGCCGGCTGTAGAGGTATGCGACTGTTAGCTATTTGTAATTATGACGTAACGTCTGAAAACTACGTGAAATAATTATTTAATAATTATCATCATTACAAAAGCATGTACGGCGGGCTTAGCATAATAAGTGAGCATAGCAGGAGGGTCAGCCTTGGTACTAGATCGCTGAAGAAATGGTGAATAATAATCGACGGAAGAAGAATATTTTAGTTCAAGACAGTGCAAAGACCAAAGCACCTCTTTGAAGACAACAATCATTCATTGAGATTGACTATTTTAGCTCATACTGCGCTGCTTCTCTTTAGACAAGTGAAGGCGACTGCGAAACGAAGAGCCATTTCAGCAACTCATCACAGGTCAGCGACGTCATCAACCTTACGCGAAGGGAAACGCTGGCCCAGATGGAACGCTGCGCTGTGGGTTTCCGCAAAAGTGGTGTATCTTTAGGAGACCGCATCTGCATCCACCTAGAGAACGGAGTGGAAAACCTGATAGCTATTTATGGCTGCATCTTGGCTGGGGCAACCGCTGTCTTAGCGAATCCCACGCTCACTAAAAGTAAGTGCAACTCCTTCTTTGTGTTACACACTTGTCTAAAAATTCACTTTTCGCGGCTAGGCGAAGCACTTGAAGCGATCGCAACCATTCGGAACGGCACGCAATGACTGAGAAGTAGATTGGAACGTGCAGTGCACCGCGCACGCACAAATGACACGAAAAAAAAACACACACACAGGAATAGAGCGAACGAAAATTTACAGGTCGACGCTTAACGCACTGCTGAAACAGGAAGGACGCACGAAACGTGCTCACGGGTACAGACAGGACGAGCGCGAACAAACAAGGGCGTCCAGTTGTTACTTCGCTGTGTTTAAATGTATGCATTTTTCACAAGCGGGAACTGAAGTGTTCGAAGTAACTTTCGGGAGCTCAGTAGCTACAATAAAATCGTTCCGGCGAAAGCTTGACACGTGCAGTTTTCCGCCAACGTGAGAGAAGCGTGCCCGCGCAAGGGTGTTTCTCCCGCAGGGCCAATATGCGTGATGGATACGCGCGCGCGTCGCGACAAGCCGAGCGCAGCGCACGCCCTTTGTGCCATCTCGTTGGTAATGCCGAGAGCGTACCGGTAGCGGTAGGTGGTGTATGATAATTACTTACAGTTTGAACATTCAACGGCGTGCATTTTCGTGACTCTGCGTTTAACGCCACGCGCTGCCTAGTGACAGGTTCCGTGTTCACATGAGCATCAAAATATTTTTTCAAATTATTTTTTCTGGTTTTTAGTGTGTTGTGTGTGAGTGAGTGAGACTGTAATGGAAGGCAGAGAGGTCGGCTTTAGCTAGTTCGCTCTAGCCTGCTATTTTTCACGGGGTTTAAAGGAAGGAGGAAGGAAAGAGGGATGAAGGATGATGATGATGGGGGCAAGAAGAGGTGGTGCGTATGTACAGTAGCCCCATAGCATAGCACCCTACAGTGTAGTATATAGTCCAGAGCTTTTGGTAAAGTCTAAAACAGCCTTTGTAGCAGTTTTCGATACTGCTTGGTCGTTCATTGCTGACAACATGTGGCTTTAACTCAGTGGCGTTCGTCCGATGCTTGCCAATGCGGAAGTTCGCATTTTTCTTTGCGGCAAAGTATACATACATTTGTGGGACATGGTGATGGAAACAGATACCGCTGGCAACAATCAGAGGAGAGGGCCTATGATTGTTATTGCAATAAAATATTGTCGCACTACGTTGTTCAATGACATGACATAAAAGTACACCGCAGAATACCGCTCGGTCTTTCCCTCGTGTAAAAGAGCGCCACAAGATTTCAAGTAAGAATGCATTGACAACTAGCACCGTGACGTGTTTTGTTAGGTGTTGCATTTTTGACTAACATAACTGCGATATTCGTGGTCTCATGGCTGCAAATTCAGTGCATTATACAGCTAAAAAAAATCACAGCATATCCATGAAGTGAATGATGGTGACTAGGCGGAGCTTTGTGAGATAATTCGGTCGCAAACCTTGCAGCTGTGCTTGAAAGTTCGGTTGAAGAACTCACGCTCAAACCGTTCATTCGTGCCACCAACCTGAGCTATCGACCTCTTCAGGCGTTTTGCAGCTGCTCTTGCGCGTTCTCACCTCCTCCGAATCCAATAGCAGGCACTGCCGTCTTGCTGCAGCTTCGAGAGCCCTCAACTCCAGGTCGGCTTGCCGGCACTGCTACCTTACTGCAGCTTTTCGAGCTTTCAACTCTAGGCGGGCTGGCCGGCACTGTCGTTTCGCTGTAGTTGCCCAAGCCCTCGTCACCTCTGGATCGGCTTCCCGGCGTTCTCGTGCCGCTGTAGCTTCACGGGAGACAGCACGTCCACGTTTGTTTTCATTCATAGGAGAAATGAAATGTGTTGTCTGGAACACGCTTATTCTTTATCGTCATCAACCGATTAACGACAGCATAAAGTGCACTTGATTTCTTACAGATGTGTTGCGGGTACCTCGCTAATCGGCAAAATGATAAAGGGCACAGTGGCATAGCGGGTGCTTCATCGTCATCGCCATTACGTATAGTGGGTACGTTTCATGAGCTGTGTAGTGATGGCTAGATTTTTTTGTAGCGTTAACTACACTGGCCTCGCTGAGCCAATTTCGCGTGGCACTGGTCTGCGCATGCGCAATAATACTCCGCCGCCGCCGTGCGCGGCTCGCCGCATTTCGATGCGCTGCGCAGACGATCAGTGGTGTCACGCACCGGATCCGGCACCTCCCTCGCACTCGGCCGTGGCCGTGCGCGACTCGCCGCCGCCGGTGTGTGCTTTCCAGAGGAGTGCCGTCATAGCCTTGGTAGACATATGGACGCCGACGCGCGCGCCTTCCCTGTGCAGTGGAGCCGCTTGATAGCGCCTCTGACTGGCGTTTGCCCTGTTGATATAGCCACGGAGAAGGAGAGTGCAAATGCTGCTCAACAGTGCAGTAGAGCGGAGAAGCTTGACTCGTCGGATCCCGAAGTAGTTGCCCAGCAAAATAAATATACATGTGCCACATAATACGTATACCGTGTGTCTGTCATTGGAACAACTGTAAGCATGATATCTGGAAAGCTAAGAATAATCAGCTGAACCTTTGCTAACGCTACGTATATCCTGGCATAGCTGAGCTAAGCCAGCTGCCATTTTTTTCGTCGTCATCAGTGTCATTCATCATCGTCGTCATGGAGGGACGACGCCGGACGTGACTGGACTCTCAAGAGCTTCGCGCTTAAAACATACAGAGGCTGTTTTATTTTTCTGATGAAGCTTGCAGGTAGACCCTTTTTCGTCAGCTGCACCGGTGTGCTGTGTTACGGCTCTTTTCTATGCGCAACAGCCTAATAAACCGAAAACAAATACCTGAACTTCCTCTGTGCAGCCATTACAGCTAGTGAAGGCATCCCTGAGGAGGATTACTCCCTCATTTCAGTGTACCCCTAAAGAAAGTTTCCATGACTATTGCCGGAGTAGATGGAATTTCATGTTCAATTTGTGAAATGCGGCATTTAGTATGTAGGGTGCATGAAAGTTTATTACAGAATATTTTTTCTAGTTCTTCGCAATGAGAAAAGAGCAAGTCGGGGCCCTTCAGAATCATCGCTATATATATGCTTTATTTGTGAGATACCTAGATACAACATACTGGTGTTTTCCAATATCTGATCTAGTTGTGTGAAGATGGTAGAAAGCGTTCTTGCTCAAAGATTGTGAATATGCTGGGTCAACCGCGCTGCACATCAACAAATGGAACTATCGTGGAAGCTCCGCCTGTCCTAATGGTGTATACATGTTGTGCGAGCCACTTAGAATGAATATTCGATTATTGAGCTGACACAGGTAGCACGCTCTATCGACACTACCCACCACGCACCCGAGACTGCAATTTTCAAGAGCGATATCAAGGCATGAGAATACTCTACCGTGAAGGGTTTTTTTTTCTGAGGGTTCGGAAAGTGCCTTCGTAGGTCCTACCTAAACCGCCTGTTAGATTTAGGATTCTTAGGATTACGACAATTCGTTGTTTCGTCAATTGGCCTCACACAACTGACCTTAAATCACACCTATACAACGTACGGCGACACTATGCACATGCACGCTGATGAGTCTACCACACTACCCACCTCCACTTCAGCCTTTCTCATCCCATAAATGAATATCGCTCGACAATTCAAGGTAGAAGACAATACCACATCAACTGTCTCAAAGCTCGTTACTACCCAAGAGGATAAGATTTATTTCTGCAGAGCAACCTTGAACATTGACGAATTTCTGCGAGGTCGAGAAAAGCCTTGAAAATCATAAATGCGTTATAAATGCGTTATAATAAAGGTTCATACTACATTTTCGCTATAAAAATTGCAGAATTGCTTCATATTGCTTTCATAAATAGCCATTTTATCACTTCCAGTGAATGCCTTTGCTTAGAGAAACAATGAGAAACAAAAGGCTGGTGCTGGAGCTAAAAGAGACCTAAACAGGGTCCCGAAGTGCTCATTTGGTTTTCACAAGCCGGCACGAACACACCGCATCACTGCGACACGCACAAATACGCCCATGAGCACTCGACTATATACATCGAAGGGACGACACTGGCGATCACGCAAAAGGTACCCGCGAATAAGGTTCCGCATGCCGCTAGTTTGAAGCGGCGCATCGTAAGTACAATCTATCGCAGTTGTCTTGGCGTCGCCTACACAAGACGTTCCGCACATGCCATCGGCCGCAGTGATAGCGGTCCCAATGATGATTACTGCCATGCTACAGAAACACTTGAGCACATAATGTGTGACTGCCAAGCATAAGAACGTGAACGATAAACAATGAATTCTTCTACTGTACGATTTCGCAATAGCCCATTAACTGCTAAGGATCATGTTGGAGCCTTTGGCCTAACACCAGCACTGCAACTGTGGTCATAAGTGGAGCTATACCCTTCTGAAAAGCAACTTGACTGTGTGCATGACCATAACATTTCCTGGCTTTGAAAGGACTGTATTTACTTACTCTCTATGTCACCATCATTATCTATTACTTTTTTCCTCGTTTTTTCTCCTACCCCTTTTTAGAGCAGCTGGCTGGCCTCTCTGACTTTGTTTAATTAAGCCTGTCTTTCTCTCTGTGCCTCTTCCTAGTGAGATTCATTGTGTGGCACAATAGGTTCATTAGGTAAGATTCATTGTGTGGGAATAAATAAGGTTCATTGTGTGGCATAATAAAACCAATTCTCACTACCCAAGGACATCATAGACGCTAGCTTGATATCAACCATTCATATCTTCAAGAATATATATTTTGCGGTTCCCCTTACGGACATACCGTACACACCACCTTCACCGCTTTTGGCTGCCAATTTTATCGCGAAAAAACGAAGCCGGCGGAACCAAGTGGCAATAAAAGTCAACCTGACGGCCTAGACCATCTCTGAGAGCCTTTCCGAAACATACATTGCTGGAATTGTCGCACAGTCTCGACACCAGAACTGGGTTCTTTGTGCACTGAATCCCAGAAAGGTACTCCGGGGCCAGTCAGAAACGATGCAAAA